AAATATGTGTTTGTGAAATAAAAACTTGATAAGACGATTTATAAAAATGACCCTTAATTCTTATAAAAGGGGCTACCATTTACCCTCACAATTTATCAAGAAATAACAGCTGAACTCTGCTCTTCGACCAGCTTAACGACTTCCATTAATAGCAATGTTTACCGAATCTATAAGAGTGATGATTTTATTTTGACTCTGTAGTTTAAAATAAGTAAGAATTCAAATATGGAGGTGGTAGCAAAAAGTAACAATCAATTCAGACTAAGTTAAATCGATCGACTTGAATAAAAATCAACCTAAAATGGTTGCTTAATCTGCAAATAATCCTCAGAAACATGAACTAAAAGCCTTATTTCTGAAAGTTATATATGTAAAAAAAATTAAACGGTTTTAGGTAACAAAATGAAGAAAAGTGTCCGTCAATATCATAGAAAAATCACCTGTCATACAAATATGGGTATTTTTCGTGAAAGTATCAATAAAGTACAGGTTTTATGATTGATTTCCTACATTTTCTAAGATTAATTATGCCCGATTCAAGTTGTGGCGAGTGCTACTGATAAGATTTATCAGTAGTATATAAGGAGATATTCATCGGAATAAAAACAGCAGATAGCAGGGAGATACATTTGATTTCAGAGAAGGCAAATGATACAGTGTTGTGAAGATACATGGGAGACGTGAAACGAACACAAAGAAATACAACATGAAGTCCAGAAGTACCACAACCGAAGATCTGTGCAAATGGTGTGTTGAAGAAAAGGTGTACATAATTTGCCTATATTGAGATGCCGAATCGGTAGGGACTTTTTATTTGATTGGTTGAAGGGTTTCATCATGAGATAACAGTAGTTAGATAACATTGGAAAACCTGGGAATATTGGACTGCTGTTTCGTCCTAGTTTGGGACTCGTACTGCTGAAAAGTCCTTTACGAAGTCATCGTCTTCTACCGTTTCAAAGGTACACGCTGATATTCAAATAGACGTAGATTTGAAATCTGGAAGGTGAAGCAGATTTGTCCAACTGCTAGCCTGATTTTTAGCTAAACAAAGATTCTGAAGTCAATCTCAGCCAAGTCACTTTCAGAAAATGAATTTCTAACATATTTTCCATGGACATTTTTACGCTGAATACCAATCCAACGTGTGATTTATTTTTCTCCTACTGATTGGTCAGTTGTTGCAGGTATGTTTTCTTCAAAACTTCCGGATTTCAGCCACTTACACTTGATTCATTCATGCTATTCAGAAAATTCTTTGTTTTATACTACGGTTGAATTTGAAATGTTGCTATTTCAACTTTAGGATTAATTCCCTTGATCTCATTTTTGATATTCATTCTTATCCTGACCTACCTTTTCATAACTGGCTTTACATGATAAGTTTTATTTGAATACTTGGTCAGCTTTTGAAGTTTTTACTGCTGATAGCTGATAGATCTTGCCATCAAAACTATGTAACTGAAATGTGTGCAACTGTTGAATTTATTTTTGAAGGCTTTTATTAATAATTAGTGACTCGTTTTGAGATGGTGTTTTGTCTGTTCTGTTGAAAAAGCCTTACCTGTGTGTTCTACCGAACAATAATAATAATAATAATAGAAAAAGTGGAATATAAATATCGTAAATGGCTCATAAAGTTGAAGGACATTTTCGCGGCATGTACCTACTAGGTGAGAACATTTAGATGAATTTGGACAAAGTTATTAGGAGACAGTATGTCTCAATAAAGTGGTCAATTTATATCAAGTCTACTTAAGCAGGACAGTATTTAAATTCTCACGGTTTCTGTCCATTACAATATATGAGGGACTTGATTAAGTGATTATTCAAAAGGATTCAGTGTATCTGTACTGTGATGCTATTAGCTGTGATATGGTTGAAATGACGACAGATACGCCTGACAAGAATGGATATCCTTTGAAGTTTTTGAACTAGTGTAGAGACCAATTGGTTGAGAAAAGGCAACAGTCTATTTTAGTCCCAAAAAAGTTGTTCACATCGAATTATCTTGCAATGGGGAAATAAAAATAGTAGAATTTTAAGACAGTGACTAAACTCCGTTATCCGTAAAATTTACTGTGCAGCCCGGTTCATGATTATCGAAAAAAAAGCCAAAAGCATGCCATGCCGCAAGCTTCAGTATTGCATATTTTTCAGACAAACTTCATCATCTGATAATGCTTTCCAGGTTTGCTTTCTTATGCTAAAGTTGCAGGAATAATTGTTGTTCTGGTTGTTCTGATCTACTGATTTCACAATGGAAGTTTCACTATGTTAATCATCACAAATTACCGTTTCGAATATTCTATCGCTTCTCTTCATCAAGTGAGGTGAACATTATTTCATGTTTTCGTTTTATGCAAGTTGTGTAGTCCTGGAAGCGTTCACTTATTTTCAGTAGAGTTTCAGTTAAAACTGGAAGCTCGTTTGATAACCTTTGTTTGATTTGTTCATAGACGCTACTCACCCCAACGAGTTCACTGACAACTTCTTCACATAAATACCAGGCTTCAGAAACTTCTTCCCCTGATCCTCTTCCCGTAACTTGTGATTCCTCTGATTTAAGGGTATTAGGATAAATGATCACATGTAACGACATTTAACGGCTATCTGATATTTGTAAATGAATGATGCAAAGCGGGACCATCGCTCGGTTATTATCCACGGTAGTGGTAACAAAAAGGGATCATAGTACTTGCAAATTTATACATAATCTTCCAGTTACAAGGTAAGCTCCTACGTGATTTAGCCAATGGGACCCGATTCAATGGACCATAAATTCCAGCTTCTACAGATTCGTGATTTTGGCGCAACCACCAGACAATTTCATTGGCTAGTGTTTGTCTTCACACCCAACCTGGTGGACTCTATTGGCCAGCCACTGGCGAGCAACAGATCAATCTTCGAGAGTTAGTCTGTACGGATTCGATTTGTTTCACGTTTGATCACAGCCAGAAGATCCTATTTTTGAACCCCAGTGGATATGTACCGCTAAAGAGTGCCAAACTAGGATGAAACAGCTGTCCAGTGCCCCCTGGTTCTCTGCCTAATATCAGTCCGTGACCAAACTGGCTAGTGAAAGTTATAAATAATCGAATATTTTATTTTATGAGTAGTAGAACGACGCTTTCTAATCTCTGCATTATATCAATTTCACAATTGGACGGAAGATAAACAATCCCACTAGTATTTATTGTGTTAGTCTAGTGAAAACAATATTTTGGCAATGATTTAAATTTCCAATAGAAGAGCGATAAAAATCATAGGCTGAATAACAAAATAAAGTGAGTCAATGCATTATCAAAGAGGCAAAAACAAACGCATTACAGATATTTTAAGAAGGAAGACTATATTTCTGGAGAACAATGTCAATTTTTCACCAGACCAGTGTTGTTAGTGGTCAGAAATGTATATCGTGAAATCTGTAGAATGATTATTCCGCCTGATTTGAAGAATATCTCACAGATTGCATTTGAACAATCCCAATAGTTCAAAATGACAATAATTACCAAACTTAGAAATACTAACTTTAGCGTTTGTTTTACATTCCAAATGACAATATAGGCAAGTGGTCTATCCTCAAATCAACTTGCAAGCGATTAAGTCATCTGAAATCGCAAACAAAATTTTCTACAATATGTCAATCGCCACTAGAATACTGAGACTCTTTAGAATAGATTTGTCACATAAAATAAGAACCAGAGACGATACAGAAAAACTGCATCAATTGTGAAAAAAAAATTACTTTGCTTAAAGTGAGTATACTCTTTACCTTCGTATTCATGAGCGTAACCAGAATTCACGAAACATAATTGTGATGATAGAGTACAGATGAATTTATAAAATAAGACAATGAATCCTAAGTTATTCAGGTATTGGTTTGTAAGGGGATATCAATGAATATCAATGAGATGCTCACTAGCGACTGGTCCTATTCAGGTAGGTTGTTAACTGGGGTTCCAGTGAGACGTCGTGACCAGTAGGGTGCAGCAGGTCGGGCGTGAGGACAAATACTAGCCGAAGACACTGGCTAGTGGTCACCGTATGTCACTATTATTATTATTATTATCGTTTCCTTGGGTTCCTAGTGGAACATAGGGCTTCAACTACACGTCTCCACTTGTTTCTATCTTCTGTTGTACTTTTCACCTGAATCCATGTTAGTCCATACTGTTTCAGCTCCTCTTCACACGATCTTCTCCATGTCACCCTTGGACGTCCCACACGCCACTTCCCTTTCAGGATCCACTCGAGCACTGGTCTGACGCGCGATGTCACCCAGCGACCTCCTCAGCGAGTGTCCAATCCATCTCCACTTTCTCCTGTATATTTGTTGAGCGATTGGTTCTTGTTTTGTTTGTTCCCATACTTTCTTGTTGGTGGTTCTTTCCGGCCGGCCATCTGATCTTCAGTATAGAGCGAAGATAGTTAGTTGTTGATAAAGGTCTGCAACCTGTTGGAAATATTCTTGGTGACCCGCCAAGTTTCTGATCCGTAAGAATTTTTAATATATTTGTGCGTTGAAGTTTCTGTAGTGATTTGGTTAAGTTTTAGGGGTGGAGTTGCTAGCACCACGCCCCAACCCTCCCTCTTTATCCGGGCTTGGACACGGTTAGAAAACTAGTGAGCCAGTAATCTATGTCATGAATTGGCAGAATTTAGAATTCATGCACCACTGGATCGGGTCCCAGTGGCTCAATGGTCTACGAGCTCGCCTTGTGACCAGAAAGTCCTGGGTTCAAGCCCCGGCGGGTGCGTACCGATGAAGAGTCCCGAGCTGGGACAAAACAGCTGTCCAGTCCTCCTTGATGGTTTTCCAATGGTTCTCTAACTCATATCAGCTCACGATGAAATCCTATAACCAATCCTAATTTAGTACATCAATTCCATATACTGTGTGAACTTCTCTTCAGCTCATGAATACATTATGGTCATCAGTACTCAAAGCATCAAAGTAGAATATTTAATAATCACTTGAATAAGACATTTATGCTTACCTTGCACAGATTTTCAAAGTTTTCAACTGAGCTTTCTTCCACAAAAAGATCAGTAGACTTTTCTTGCAATGAGTGTAAATCATTTGAAATAAAATTTTGCATATCACATCTTTGCTTCTTTAAAGCTGACTGAATACGAGTTAAATATAGCTTAGCTGTTTCATATATTTCTACAGTAGGGCTCATACTGCCATGAAAAGATTTACTGCTGCCTGTTGTATCTAACATTTCAATTATGACTGGTGCAGCAATCCATGCATCTTGTAAACGAATTAGTGTATGCATAGCGTTCTCGCAAGTTCTATAACATGATAAATTAGTAGCATCAGCTTTACCGCCTTCATTATTATTATTATCATCACTATTATTGTCAGAGTTGTTTTTATCATCACTGTCGTCAACATCTAAAAGACGTAAGACACCCGCAGACATATCCATCAAGGTGGATATATCCTCTTGATTATCTTCAGAACACTGAAAAAAGAAAGAGCAAAACAAACAAGAACGAAATTGTGATAAACATGATTTAGGAAGGAGACAGTGACAAATACATGTTAAGATATGTGGTACATATTAATCCAAGTAATAGCAATGTTATCTACTTCCTTGATTCATGAACAGATTTAGGAACTGTTATTATATCATGATCAATATCGTGTCATTACTGTCAATTACACTTTGTTAACCTCTGAATTTATGCTTTCATTACGCCAGTATAATAACAGAAATGTATCGGAGAAAACCAATGGGACAAATGCGATGAAATACATCAAGGCAGTATTTGATTTCATCTAGGCAAACAATGAAGGTATTCTTCTTCTTAAGAGATTTTTCCCTCTGCCTTATAATTTGCACCAACTCCTTGTTTCTATCTTCCAAATGACCACTGATCCAACTGTCAACTGTGCCACTTTCCTCACATTCTCACCATACAATATAATACTAACAATCGATACGCCCTTCTATCAATAGTACGAGTTACACATAGAATTGGCTGTTTTATAAACATCTTGTAATAATTATTTATTTATTTTACTTTATTATAGCTTGACTCCAAACAGTGTTTTTGATACAAGTAGGGAATTCACAGCATGTGTTATCGGTAGCCCAAATTTAGAGGGCCGACCATTGATATCGGGTGTGCGTCGGCCAGGGATCAAACCCCGGACCATGTGCATGATCGGCGAGCGTCCTAACCGCTGTGCCACCGAGGCACAATAACGATAACTACTGAGTTATAGAACTCAGTTACAGACTGAATTATAATCCCAAAACACGTCAGTATCTCCTAGTTTGCGATATAATTGTAGCGAATGTCACAAATGGGTAACTGTTATGTTACCACATCGATTACAATTCCTAGCCCAAGCCTCAGAAAAGCCATCTCGAATAAATGTAGTATCAGGGGGTAAGTATATCTATGTTTGAGTTTTGAGTTTTCAGATATCCTTTTATCGGATTGTATTGTATAATCTAGAAACCACAGACCATTGGATAACGATTCAGTGTCTCATCTTCACTAAGTTTGAAGGTCTAGGGTTCCACAATTTGCAAGCTAGTAGATCCCGGAATTAAAAGAAACCAGCATCTTCCCAGTGCCAACACTTCACATATTACCCAATAACTGAGTAACACTGTTAACTGATTTAAATTCTACTTTGATGGTCATACTTATGCTCATGAAGAACTCGTGAAGATGGCTCTTTCTCCTACGAGATTTATCAGAATACTTGGTTTTCTTAGAGAAGTAAAGTTTTTTTTTTTAATGTATTGAATCAAACTTTAGCGCATCTCCAATAAGCAAATATACAGAAAGGATTTGAAGAAGGTTAGAAAAATCTTAGTGTAACAACACAACCAATTTTCTGTAATTCCAGAGCCAAGCTCCGTTTCACTTCATCCTACAATAACATAAGAATAAAAGCCATCTTAGGGGGGTTATTCTTTTTTCAAATGTTGAACTCAAAGACCGCTGGTTTTAGTCCCTCAGTCATTAGGAATATTTGATTTAACTTGTACTAATCTAGCTTAACGCATTTAAATTAACATCTGTTCTAATAAAGGTTGTCTTTTCTAATATAACCATATTATCGACATTATCATTTACCTTTGTATTAAACACATCACAATATAAGGTTAGTTATACTTTTATCGAAACGAATATAAATCACAGCATACATACAGCATAGATAGTCAGTGCCAAATGAACTTTGACTAGAATGATTATTTATCAACTTTTTCTAATATTACTCGTTGATAGAGAATTCTAATATCAGCTGTATATATCGAAAATAAATACATTTTAGCTATGATTCATTGTTATAAATAGTGTTGATCACAAAAGGTTTTCTCACCAATTATATTTTAAAATTAACTCATGGAATGTAGTGAAATATGTGTGTATACTCATGAATACGTCATCAATAAATAAATAATTACACAAGGTCAGAAATTACAATTTATTGAACGTACAACTTAGAACACAGACGGTATACTTTCACATGTTTATTATTCACCGAATAATGAGTATGTAATGGGGTCTAAGATAAAAATTTCAATAGCATTTTGTCCTGTCCTGTCACTTACATTCCAGTACTAGTGGAAACACATTACTTCATACAAAAACAAAATGAAATGCTAAGGTGATAAATTAGAGGAGTTGAAGGTTCTAGAGAAGTGTAAGTGCTATTTACAGACATTTATCAGCAAATAGAAGTAGACTGAATGCTGAAGATTGACGGAAATTTCAATTGATATAAAAATTTGTGACGCGGGTTCGAATCTCAGAAGGGACATGAGTTCCTTCAAGGTTGCAGATACGCCTTGCTGACAGGTGAGTGGCAACTAGCACGAAACCTAGATCCAAGGCTTCTTGCTGATTGCCTCCAACCATCTAATATCGTCAAATCAATGTGTACCGTGATGGCGAGCTACCTAGAATGGTGGCCACATTGCAAACCTGACTGACAGAATTCTGTCTGCACCAAAGAAAGGACTAGACGCATAACACTAGTTACTAGTGTCCAATCAAAGTATGTACTTATTCTCCTCAAGTATAAAGTCAATATAATACTGAGGAGATAGTCAAGAAACAGACTGAAAACTGAACAAGTCAGAACTTTGCACAGATGTGCAAAGTTACACTCCTTCCATGTAGCACACAAATCAAGAGAAGAGAGTAAGAAGATATTCAAAAAACAAATGATAAACAGAAGTGTGAGGCGAAAACAATAGTAATACGGAAGAACAGCAGATTTTTATTGGATATTATAAATCACAAAGAGTGAGTCCATCTGCGGCAGCTATTGAGAAAGATTTTCAGCCATAACACCAATTGTCTGCAGACTTTATTGGACTTTACCATCCCTAGGACCCCACCCAGCCAAGAAGTCTACACCTCCCTACGTGGCTGGCTGGCTTAAGCTAACTGTTGTGGATTTCCTGAACTGATAGATGGCATGTTTTGATTTGACCACCACTGGCTAACTCTTTTCCAACTTGATCCATCCTATGTCAGCTAACGTTGCCCATTGTCGAGGAAGGCGATGGCTAGGCCAGGCATAAGTAACACATGTCCTAACCATCTCTATCGGTGTAACTTCACAACTTCGTCGATTGATTTCCCCTCCTTACCTAGCACGCGATGCTTAAGGATATAGAATTTGTTCTCAATCATCTCCTGCTTTGGAATCTTGTGTAACTGAATTCATCGTCACATCAATGCATCATTACCTATCAAGTCTAAGAGTAAATTAAGTCACTTTTAATTGGCTGCGTTATATTTTTATGAAACTATGTGTCTATATAGACTGACTTCAAATAACTGAGTTTATTTATTGATATATTTCAGACATTTAATTATCCACCTCTAACCGACTTATTTATGTAGTATTATATCTTATATCCACGATCATATTTCGTCGCTACCTTCTGTTATTTTATTTACCAACAGGAGTGAAATTTCCTTTTACAGGAAACTGACATTTTTACCATACTTCCTAACTTTTATCAGAGTTTAGCGTTATGAATTACGAACAAGGATTTAAAAGAAAAATTGTAAGCAGTTGATCAAACACTGATGAAGTAAAATTAGCTCGTTTTATCCCCCTTCCCCCCCCCATCAGATTGCTGTTTTCGATATGTTCACACATATAAAGAGAAATATGTGTCTGAAATAAAGTTTTCTCTATGATAATCATTCATCACTTATTCACATATTCATTTGTAGTTGAGTGAATAGTGAAGGGATGATGTGAAGACTTTAATATAAGCCAGACATCAACATCTACAACTTTTATCAGACTGCCTTGTATTAATTAAAATCTCTACAAGCAGGTTAGCCAGCCAACTTGGGAAAAGTGAAAATTTGACATTAAAATCTACAATTTTACATTGGATTAATTTACTACGGAAATGCTACACATAAAAAAAACAGTTTGCATAAAGCTACATTAATCAGAAACCATAGGCGTGTTCAAGCAATCAGCACAAAGCAGGGAATTTTGACTTTCACAGAGAAGTAGGTTGTTTGAAGATATGGCTGAACAAACCAATGAATTCACAGCTTCATGTAACAAAATAACTAACATGAAATAATACTTTCTTCATTTCTAATTACCAGTAGAGTCAATAGAAACATCGAATGAGGTTCAAATAGACAGCTCCGTATGCTTTCCGCAGATTGGTTAATGTAATATGTGTGGTACATCTGACACGAAGTGATGTCCAGAATTCAGTAGGGCGATCGAATTAACCCTAATGACTGATATGAGGAATTAACTAACTCGTAGGGCTTGGTGATACAATCGTCTCTAGCTGATTTTCTTCTTCCTTTGCGTTCCAGATGGAACACAAGGCTTCAAGCCTTAAGCTTTGAAGTTTCAGTAGTTGTGGTGCTGTTCTTAGGGGTCCGGTTGCTAGTCTCATACTCAACCTTCACTCTTTACCGGGCTTTCTACGAGTTAGGTGAGATTTAGGAGTACATAGGCAGGGAATCGAACCCGGACCACATGAGTAGCTGGTAGGTATTCTGCCACTGAATCACCGACGCACTCTATATCTGACTGGTATGTGCTTTTATAATTACTTGCACGGATTAGTTTTATTTGTTATATGGTTATCGAAGAATAGGAAAACAAAAGAACCAACATAGAAATTTGTACACTACTACATCGATTTCAGTTGCTACAATACACAGTGTGACACGTGAAGAGGTTCATAGTAGAACCAAATAATTAGCTAAAACTTTTTATATAGAAGTTAAGCAATATTCTCTCGCTTTTACATACCTAAACGTTTTAAAACGATTTAACTGTCATGATGAACAATGACGAATGAAGTATTTCGAAACTTTATCTAAACGGATTCAAAAGGTTATCACAATGAGCTAGCTATCATCATTACTTTTGTTATTGTCATGACTATCCCTATTATTCTTATCACTTGATTCTCTAAACAGCGCCATTGAAAGTACA